TAAGTGTAGCTGTGTGTGTATGTAACTGTACCAATGCACTATACAATAAAACCACACTGTAGGTCAGTGTGTGTAGGTGTACTTGCACAATAAAAAAAACTGAAACATAGGTAACATTTGACTCCAACTGGGGCAGATTTATTTCAAACATTTTACCAACACACTATAGGCATGTAAAAACAAACATTTTACCAATGTACTATACAATAAAACCACACTGTAGGTTTGTAAAAACAACAAATATTTTACCAACACACTATACAATAAAATCACACTAGGTATGTAAAAACAGTATATATTTTTTAAATAAACACTCGCAAAACGTTATACCTACCTGAACTTTATACCTACCTGAACTTTATACCTACCTAAATGTTCCAGTATTTAGGTCGTGCCACTCCCTGAAACAGTTCTTTTTGACAGTGAAGCACAGAGGGACCTGGCACTTCCTGCAGTACACAGGTGTCTTCACCCTTTTGAGTCCAGCATCTAGGCACCTGCTGCAGTTCTTCCTGACCTTGGTGGCATCTTCCCCATAATACTCGGACATGCATGTGAGTGGTGGAGGAGGGGGTGGGGGTGGTGGAGGTGCAGGGCCTTCAGCAGGGCCTTCAGCAAACTCCAACAATTCTGCAGCAAGCTGCTCCCTGAAAGTCTTCTGGGTGTGTGGCTTTGTCCTGCTGGGGTCACTCCTCATCTTGAACAGCTCCTTGTGGAGAAGGAAGCTGTTCACCACTGCAATGTCCATGAAATGGAAAAAAAAAGTCTTGTACCATTTCATGGTTTTGTGGAGAACGCTGTAGTACCCGATCAAAGCGTCGGACACATCCACGCCGCCGATGCTTTGGTTGTAGTCCACCACAGCGTCAGGAACGGGAACGTTCTTGGCTTGCCACACGCCAGCCTGTTTCACTTTCCGCTGGACCGTCTGACCGCTGAAGGCCTCGTGCACGGTGGAACACATGGACACTTCACGGGTGTCCATCCACTTCACGAACAGGAGTTTGCCTTTCCTTATCCACCGCAAATCTCCCCTTTTAGCCTTCTTTGGAAGGGCGTTCAACTGAGTTTGTGGAAAACCAACTCGATTTTTCCGAATGGTCCCACAACAGCCAATGTTTTTAGTGGAAAAATCCCCAAAGAGGGTGGGGCTGGCGTAAAAGTTGTCCACAAAGAGTGTGTAGCCCCCACCGAGCAGACGGAGTGGCAGGAGGTCCATCACGGAGGAGTAGCAGAGTCCCTTGCCTTCGGTGAACTCACTCTTCCCTGTGTACACAAAAAAAAGGTGTATGCCGTTGAGGAATCCGCCAGCACAAACAGTTTGTATCCCCACTTTGTTGGCTTGTCTTTCCTGTACTGCTTCATGCTGATGCGGGCCTTGGAAACAACCATCCTTTCATCTATGGAAATCTTCTGATAGGGCTGGAAATGTGATTTGCAGGCAGCAATGATGTCAGTGTACAGGGGCTTGATTTTGAAAAGTCTGTCGTACTCTGCGGTGTTCCTTTTGCGATCGTTTTCCTCGTCTTCTTCAGGGTTGCTCAGGTGCAAAGACCACATGATGGCTTCAAAGCGTTGCCGGGACATCCTATCAGATGGGAATGAGAAGTAGTACGGCCATTTCTTCCTCCAGTAGTCCGATCGTTGGTGAACGTAGACGAGGCCTGTGAAAATGATAATGGCCAGGAAAGTGTAAAAATCCCTCGCAGTCAGCACTCACTTTCCAAAGATATTTCTTTCCTGCCTGTAATCTCCTCAGGGCGTGGGCGTTCGTGTTCGCAATGATTATATTAACCACGGCAGTGCTAAAGAAAAGCCTGAAAATGGAGAGGGGAGACCATGCTGCAGTGCTGTCAACGGTTGGGCCTGGGATCCTGGCTGGTATGAACCTCAATGGCTCTGGTCTTCGGTCTTTCTCCTCTCTGTTGTGCCACCTGAGTTCTTCCTCGATTGTTCTGGAAGAGGAAGACCCACCTCGGCCACGCTTCCTGGGTTTTAGAGATGTTTTTCCTTTCCTTTTGTATGGCAGCTCTTTGGGTGTCTCAGAATCAGAAGATGATGGCTGAGGAGGGGGAGCAGAAACCCTTCGAGTGGAACGGCCTAGCTGAGTGGAAGCAGACGTTGATGGATGTGAGGGTGGGGATGGCTGAGTGGATGGTCGTAGCTTTGTTGAGGCAGGCTGAGTGGAAGTAGACGGCTGTGGATGTGAGGGTGGGGATGGCTGGGTGGATGGTCGTGGATTTCTTGAGGCAGGCTGAGTGGAAGTAGACGGCTGTGGATGTGAGGGTGGGGATGGCTGGGTGGATGGTCGTGGCATTGTTGAGACAGGCTGAGTGGCAGATGGGGGTCCAGAAGCCATTTCAAACTCCACTGCATCACTGAAAACAAATGTGGAAAAACAAAGAGATTAGATTAATTCACTGGCATATACTTATAGGATAATATTGGACTATAAATGAATAATATTACACCAAATAAATAAGTAAACACATGTATATTCATTCACTGGCCATTCATTTAGAAAATGTAACACCAAAAAGATAAGTAACCAGGGTTGCCAACTTTGGGTACCTGGCTGGAGTGAGATTTTGATATCATGGGTTTAATTACACATATGCAAGGCAAGGCAAGTTTATTTATATAGCACCTTTCAACACAAGGCAATTCAAAGTGCTTTACAAAAAACGAAAGACATTAAGAAAATGGCATTTAAAATCAGTCATTAAAAAGAAAAGATAATAAAATAAACATTAAAAGAAAAAATACATGGATAAAAGTTACAGTGCAGTCTAAGATATGAATAGTTCAATTAAAAGCAGCGGCAAAAAAAAAAGAAAAGTCTTTAGCCTGGATTTAAAAGTAGTCAGAGTTGCAGCGGACCTGCAGTTTTCAGGGAGTTTGTTCCAGATATTTGGAGCATAATAACTGAACGCTGCTTTACCATGTTTAGTTCTGACTCTGGGGACAGAAAGCTGACCAGTCCCTGAAGACCTGAGAGATCTGGATGGTTCATAATTTAGCAGTAGGTCAGAAATGTATTTTGGGCCTAAACCATTCAGTGCTTTATAAACCAGCAGCAGTATTTTGAAATCTATTCTTTGACACACAGGAAGCCAGTGTAAAGACTTCAGAACAGGAGTGATGTGATCCACTTTCTTAGTGTTAGTGAGGACTCGAGCAGCGGCGTTCTGAATTAGCTGCAGCTTCCTAATAGATTTTTTAGTGAGACCTGTGAAGACACCATTGCAGTAGTCGAGTCTACTGAAGATAAAAGCATGGACAAGTTTTTCCAAATCCTGCTGTGACATTAGTCTTTTAATCCTAGATATATTCTTTAGGTGATAGTAGGCTGATTTAGTAACAGTTTTAATGTGACTGTTGAAACTCAGGTCAGAGTCCATGACTACACCTAGATTTCTGGCTTTATCTGTTGTTTTGAACATTGCACACTGAAGCTCAGCGCTAATTTTGATACGTTCTGCCTTGGCTCCAAAAACCATTACCTCAGTTTTATCTTTGTTTAATTGGAGAAAGTTCTGACACATCCAGTCATTGATTTGTTCAATGCACTTACTCAGTGTTTGAATTGGAGCATAGTCTCCTGGTGAAATTGTTACGTAAATTTGTGTGTCATCTGCATAGCTATGGTAACTTATTTTGTTGTTCTTCATTATCTGAGCCAGTGGTAGCATGTAGATGTTAAAGAGAAGAAGCCCCAAGATGGAGCCTTGAGGTACCCCACATGTCATATTTGTCAACTCAGATGTGTATTTACCTATAGAAACAAAGTTGTTTCTGTCCTTTAAGTAGGATTCAAACCAATTCAGAACTGTTTCCGAAAGTCCCACCCAGTTTTCCAGTCGGTCTAGTAATATGTTGTGGTCAACAGTGTCAAACGCAGCACTGAGATCTAATAATACTAACACTGAAGTTCTGCCACTGTCTGTGTTTAAGTGGATGTCATTGAAGACCTTTACAAGAGCAACTTCAGAGACATTTTTTGTATATATCTGAGATCCATAATATATTGATGAAAAACAGTATAATAGGGGACCTTTAAGTACAAAGTGAAATTACTTATTGTGCAGAATAGCTCTTTACAGAATAAATCATATTACAGTATATCTGCTGATAGTCTTTAATGATTAATGTTGCAGCTGGAAGCTGTGCTTTATGTATTGCCAGCTGACGTAATCCATTATCATGTACTAGTTTATTTTATATATTTTATTTAATTGTCTGAATCTGCAAAGTTACTAGCAACTAAAGCTGTCGAAAAATGTCGATGAGTAAAAAATGTTGTGAAGTATAAAGTAACGTGACATTGAAATACACTGCTCATACTGTATAACCTGGTTTGAAGGTAGAAAAATCACAACATGCATAATACTCCCTTATTGTCCCTTATTAGGCCTTTATTTTGTATGAGGGAAAACTCCAAACTAACAACAAAACAGTAGAAGTAAGTAATATATGATATATATTCTATAAAATGTTTATTGATAAAATAGTTAGGATCATCTGTTTTGACACATCCAGTGAAATGAATAATTGACACCGTAAGGTTTAAATCCAGGGTTATCACCCTGAATGATGGTCCGATTATATGAAGGGAACATTTTACATATATTGTCATATAGCCCAAACCTGCAATGAGCATCCTATATAGAAATAAGTTTTGCAATATAGACACAATGAGGAAGCAAACTAAGTGCAATAAATGAAAAGGGCTTCCGGGAAATTGTAAAGGCATACCTACACTTTGGTTAATAGTTGCAGCTCTAATAGAGTGAGTTATGTATCAGTAGATTGTTGGTATTAAATGGATATTGAAGTGTGTGACTGTGTGAGATACGCTTCTTCAAATATTCCCTTAGATGAATTACCGATAATTGTTGAGGAATTGAATAAGCAACACTATATCTAACTGAATTCAAATCTCTGCTGAATTATTATGTTGGATCAGTAAAATGGCACAATGACACACAATAAACACAACATTTAATTGATTTCAAATTAAGAAGAAACACTTTTTTATTAACCCAACCTCAACAGCAACAAAGTTGAAACATTGTTGTAGGTTTTCCTCAAAAGTCACATGATGACAAATCACAACATTTTCACACCATGACCATAAACAGAAATATAACCTAAGTTACCCACATTCATACAGATGGTTACATTGAAGGAAGAAAGCTATATTGTATAACCACAGTATGAATAGTAATATATAATGGTAATAGTAATTATATTGATTTAGTATTGATAGATTAAAAACAAAGACATACACCCAAAACAATCTTTAATCAAACATGAATACAATTAAAAAGAATATCTAATCAGGTTACCACATTAATTCACACGATGGATATCCTAAACAAACACCACTAAATATTTAAAATCCCTAAATCACACCTAAAATTACATTTCAATTAGCCATAATATGGTATTAAACAGTGATTCTTAATTAAAGCTGATTTAAAATGATCACATTTGCACTTAGATTAGTGTATAATATTAAACAGGGCTCTAAAAATTGCATATATGGCCCAATTGTGCATAATGCATCCTCATTCACTTTTAAGTCGTTAAGTCACATACTCACTTGATCACATTTCTCATCACCTTCAATCAGTGGAGTGCCAGGAAGTGTTTTCTTTATTTTTTCAGGTTTAACTTCCATTTTCCAAAACTTCAGATTCATCAAGGTTCTGTGACGTGAGAGTCGCTCCACACTGCATGTAAATAAAGAAAGACAAGTGTATCAGCATTATCAAGAGCAGAGCTGCAACTATCTTTACTGAAGCATGGTGCTAGTCTACAGTGGAGCTACATTATTAGTAGCTCCACAGAAAAATAGATCCAGCTTCTCACTTCTCACTTTACTTAAAGACGTAACCTTTGTCTTTACTACATATTACAGGCATTTTCCCCCATTTTCTTACATGTACAGACCAAATTATAATAGTAAACTAATTGAGGAAGTAATCGCTACTTAATCAATGATTCAAATAATCATCAAGCAGCAGGCAGGCATAGATGGTTTTAACTCCAGAGGCAAGATTGAAGTGCAATTGAACTGAAATGTTATCCTTGAGCTCTGACGAGATGTAACGAAAGTAATTATTCATCCTTACCTGCTCATGTCCATATACTAATACTCAAACTGTACATATTTTATACTGTACTACTATGATATAATATCACTGCCATTTAATAAAACCTCCTGCCCTATTTAACATTTTTTATTTATTTGACAGTTGTAGTGGAGACAGATATGTTTGTAAAGAGAGTACGGGAATGACTTGCAGTAGGCGGGCCATCTGCTCTTCCAGACTTTCAAATGAAACTAGAGGGTTTTTCTTACCCCCCAAGTGGTCCAGCCAATTAGGAAGCAAACTAAGATTTGTTGTTCAGGACATTTTACTTCGATTTGACAACTAACTACTCGGCTATAGGCAGTTCGATACATTCTATTTTTAATATCTTAGATATACATATTACCTGGATTCAACTGTTCAAAGTGTCCCCTGGCAGCATCCAGACTTTTAGAATCCATTTTTTTGCCGTAAACCCTGAAGAGCGTCTCAGAGAACTGCACTGGGAGAAGCTTGGACACCTGACAAGAATGATAGCAGCATAAATATAATTAAAAAATATATATTATTAATTATATACATAACAGCGGTTTCCCTAAAAAGAAATACACAAAAGCTCACACAAAAAAAGATTAAGATTGTGATTTCCGTCGTCATTGTTGACCTCTTTTCTGGTGATTTTGAATGTTTGGTTAGGGTTTTTCTTGCTGTAGAAGTCCACACTATTGATGGGGTCCTCCGCCCCACTCCCATAGTCCATGGTAGCAGACTAGAAGAGAAGGTTGAGACAGAAGCCTCTTCTTTATTCAAAAGTAAATCAATGGAGATGGCAGTATCTAAAAAAAACACAATTTGAAGATTAGCGAAGCAAAAGTAAGTACACGAAAAACTTACCAAAACGACAAAGTCCTCCTTTGTCAGCCCGTCAGCCTGAACTCCCTGTCGTGGGAATGGGAGAGCTGCAGCCAGTTCCTCTTTCAACTGAGGTATCTCATCCTTAAGTAGGAAGGACAAAGGTTTAGAAGTGAGAGATTACATTTACATTTGCAGATCTTTCCATCGTGATAAAACACAGTAAGAGGAGGTCCACATTAGTTAGGCAGGTAAATACAAATCAAACATAATTGTTTCTCGGTTTTGGCTGTCTATCCAAACTCAAACAAAAAATATGCTCTCACCGGACAACAGGCCTTTTAAAAACAATGTATTAGAATGTATTCTTGATGCAAACCTTTTCCAGTCTATTGGAAACAGAGTGTTTGCAAAAGGATAATGTAAGCTTGCCCAGTTGCTGTCAGGGGTCTGTGTGGCAGTTTATTAAACGTTTATATTGCTTCATAATTTCTGTGTAATCTCTCATTTTAAATGTCAGTTCAGCAGGTCATATCACACAGCAACCGTTTTAATCAGTATTAAAGATTGGTTTGTCACACCCCACACAATGATAAGTTAATGATTTTATCATTGATTATGTCATACTGTTGACATAATTATTAGTCAGGCACCTGACTCACACCTCACCAGATGTTGGCTTTGAGGCGCAGATTTGTTCATTTCCAGATACAATGATGCCATCTCTTTTATTGTTCACTGCGTAGGTCTCTATAAAAACCACCCGGAATAGCTACTGTGAACGCAAGGCTTTTTTTACGCAGTGGATTACTGTGGATGTAGTCTAAGTGTTATGTGACCTCGTACTATGATCTTTCTTGCTCATCTGGCATAGTTTCTCTAAACAACAATTCTAGGATAGTCTGCTTAAAAGCCAGGTATACGAAAAGAGGCAATGTAAAGTGGTAGAGACAACAGAAACAAACAATGTGTTCTTCAACCACAATAGTTGCATTACATTCAGCTCTGTTTTAACAAACTTCACTTTTGTAATAATCAGGGACAAATTCAAAAGGGGACTGAACTGATTTTGCTAAACCTTTGCAAATGAGACAAAAAATATGGACTGTAATCAATCACCAGCAAAGGTTGCCAAGCAAAAAGCGTTACTCAACTTCTGATATTTGTATGTAAAGAAATAAGGTAACATACATACATACATTTGAAGTAAAATAATTAGTGGTAACCGAAGGCGTGTCTGCTCAAACTGAGATAGGATGTAATGAGAGTTGTGTCATGAAACATAAATTAATTAAGGTTTTTTTAAATACATTTTTTAAATACATTAAGAAAATAACTGTCTTTTAAGCAAAAATGAGGTTACGCTTTTGCCCCCTCCTGCCTTAATCTCTTTTGATGAAGAGATGACTCATCTTTTTTCCTGCTGTGCGATCCCTTGAGATTATTGATTACAAATATGTGATGTAATACAGGAACAATACATTACTGCACACCTTGGTTGGGGTTCCTTTATGCTTGATTTCACCCAGAAACCTGTAGTGTTTACGATCGACGATGTTTTTTAGAATCTCCCTTGCCTTTTGGAGAGTATCCTCTGTGGAGTTGAGTATTTTGTAAAATACACAATCTAAAGGACAAACAGGACAGAAGAGCAAGTTAGAAAAAAGAAGGTAAAAACTAAGTCACTGACACTGTAAACTGAGAAGCATAACTCACAACATCTAAGCAGTATACCTTTGTGATAACATTTGTTCTACTTTAATTTGTTCTTAAAAATATGAAAAACACTCCATGACCACATTGCATTTGCTAAACCAAATAGTCTGTTAATATCATCTGTAACCAGAATGGCAAGTTTTTGTTTCTCCGTGAGCTGAAGAGCATTACTTGAATCTAAATTGCCAATGGTTGTGTTTTAACTTAACCTTTACAAAACCAAAAACATAAGTGTAAAGGTGAAGGAAAATATTAAATGGTGAGTTAACCCTATCTGCTCTAATGTGCCTGTTGTCATTAGCATGTCCTTGTTGCATGCCCTGGCCAAACTCGTTACCCTAGTAAGAGCATAAGGTTTTCAGGTGAGTTTATTTTGTTGTTAAACATACTAACAAGATAAAAGGAATACGGTACCACCAAAATGATCATTTCTGCATTAACAGTACTCGCACAGACGAGTAGTTCCCCAGTGCACCTGATTATGCAGTAGTGTTTTAAATAGTACGTTTCCCCCCCCAAAGAAGTGTTGGATAAACGAGACATGGAGTATAGTGCATACATTTGTAAACAAATGTTAGATATTGTTATGCTATTTTTACTTAAATTCATCAAGACTTTTCTCGTTTTTTTTAATACTTCATTCACCGTGAGGACCTGCTTGAAAAACAACGTTTTCTACACCATCTTCTTGGATCATAGTGAGGAATTATGTGTGAGAGCCTGTATCTCTAATGGATCAAAAATACATAGTAAGTTTATGAATAATGCTTTTTTTATTGTTAAAAGACAAGCTCACAGCACAAAGTGGTTTCTGCTGACCTGTCAGCTTGGTGTAGGCCTCCATGTCAGCTATGGCTGTGGAGAGGGTGAACATCTCCCCTCCTGAGCCTTTAATCTGGATGTGCTGGTCTGCCTTTAAAAAGGCCTCTGTGATCCTGTATGAAAGTAATATGTTATTACTTTGTGCATATACCATACACAATATTTGATTAAATTAAATTATTAAAATCAGAGTACCAACGTGAGAAGGGAAGATACTCACATATGCTCTATGATCTTAACCACGTTGTGCTGGTAGGCTCTTCTGTGGAGAGAGTACCTCGTGTGGAACAAGTCATAGAGATTGTTCCCCTCCTGTTAACAGAATTATCTATAAGTTACCACAAATAATTTCAATTGATTGCTGTTATAAAATCTGATCAAAAAGCAGATGTTACAAAGTCAGCACCTTGTCTCTAGTGCAGATGTGCTTCTGCCCTTTCACCTTCTGCCCGTCCCCCTTCTGCTCGTCCACGTCACACACCCTGGCAAACTTTATGAAGCGGCCATGGTCAAAGTTGTTCTTGATGCCCAGGTGGTGGCAGTCCCTGATAGGACACAAAGGCAAGACAAGTAAAGAAAATGTGCTTATTACAAAAACTCATGTAAGACACCAGGAGAATGCTACATGTTCTTTAATAACCAGGACTATGTTTCTAAATGTGAATAATTTATTGGTAAAATAATACACATTTGTTTTATTGCATTAGAAAGTGAACTGTTCTAGCTGTTGAACCAAGCCCCACCTGGCAAAGTAGTCAAACTTGTCCACATCAATGCCGTTTCTTTTGTTGGCCACAATCTCATAGAGGAAGGACTTCTCCTCTGGACGGCCTTTATACTGTGGAGGTGACAGCACAGAGTGACTGGCCTTAGACATTGGCTATTGTAGCAATAACAAAGATAATGCTGATATCATTCAATTCAAATTGCATGACTAACTTTCTTTTTTGCTTCCGGGAGTTTAATCATCTCCTTGATGAAGTCCAAGTCTTCGGACAGCTTCAGGCCATATGCCTCCATCATCCCCGGCAGATAGCCATTGGATTCCACCAGGTGGTCGAACATTTCTTCAGAGGCGTCCTCATGCTGCAAGGTACACAAATTCATTGATATATTAGTATGAGAATTCAAAGTGATAAAAATGAACAATGACTCACTGTATAAATAGAAAGGGCCTGGCTTTGCTGAAAACGTGACAGTTTACATTTACCAAATGACAGGTCTGTTGCCAAAACTTGCATAATGACAGGGATCTCTGTAAAGCACACAGACTGGTTTGCACCGCTCCCCCTATACCAGATGTTTAACCACTCTCACTCTTCTCATACATGTTTAAGTTATTGCTGATATGTAACACAGCTGTAATGGTTATTGAAACTGAATAAGTCAGAATGACATCCATTAATATCCAATAAATGTGAGGCGTGTCATTATTCGTAAGCCAATACATTGTGCAATCAATATGTGTATATATATTTCATGTTGATAAGATAAATTGATTATGTTGTCTATTTTTACTTTTATTAAACTGAAACATCTGAATTAAGAGTATATGAATATATATATATGAACCTTTCAAGAAGTTCCTGGAAGAAAGCAGACAAAGGTAGTTATAATATCCTTTGAGAGAGTACCCTGCATGTGTCTCATAATACCATGAATGCCACAACTAATTGTGCTTAAAGGAATAGTGCATCATTTTGGAAAGGATTATGCTTTATTGCTTTTGACTGAAAAAAGCAACAAAATACAACTAATTAATTAAAGGCAATGCCGCATTGAATGTCAAATATTGCATGTGTAATAAGATACGATAATTCTTTATTGTCAGATCAAATCTGAAATTTTTCCTGCATCATAGCAGCTCCATTTGCAACATCAAACAGGGACAAATATTAAGACACAATACAAGGAAACAAACATTTAACATAACAATCACTGAAGAGAAAACATGCTTAAGACCCTCAAGCGCACATTTGTCCTGGGATTGAGCTCTGTATTTAATTAGAGGATGGACTGGTGCACAAAGGAGTGCTTCAGTCTAACTTTATTAAATCGTGGGACCCTGTACCTCCGACTTGATGGTAACAATTCATATTTACTGTTCAGGACATGTTGGGGATCAGAGAAGTTGATGGACAGCCTCACTACGGTATTATGGTTGATTGATAGAATTCCTCACTGGGGTGACCTACAATCTTTGAGAAGATTTTCAACTGGTGGAGCAGTTTTGACTTTAAGGCAGAAGACAAACACTTGTACCATGTAGTATTGCAATACGGTAGAACAGTCAAAATCACAGATTGAAAAAACATGATCAGATCATGACATGCTGGCTGTGTTTTATAAATGTGTTTTATTTCTGTTGTTGGGTATAAAGTCACACAATACAGACAATAGGAAAAATAACTGCTCACCTTCCAGGTTCTCATTTTTTCACCTAGTGAACCAGATGGGCGTGTTGCTTTGGGGATGAACATTTGATCAAACAGATGGGAAAAGGGTCCATGTCCTATATACGGAGAAATATAAATATTTTTAAGCAAATGGTGCTGGCTATAAAACAAACTGAAGTGAGCCGTTTTAACATTCTATAAATATATATTGCATTTTAGATTTTAGATTATTCTCTGTTCACAGTGTATGTGAGAAAAACTTAAATAACTAAACAGGTAATACAGGGTAAGAAATTGTTATATATGAATATGAATGAATTATTCATATTAAAGAGTAAGGTGTGTATCACTCACCCAGGTCATGGCATAGCCCAGCGATCTGAACACAAAGGATGTCTCTGTCATTGATGTTGAGATCTGGCTGCTTTTCCTTCAGAGCTTTCACAAGCTCACCTGCTAAGTGCCCCACCCTTCACCAAAGCATAGAGCACACAACAATACAAAGTCATCACACAATTACCACTTGAGTGTCCTTCTGCAAAACAGGATATTCAATTTGTTTTAAACTGTTTATTAGGTGCTGCCATAAATACAGTCCATTTACAGCAAACAAGTCTTCACTTAATATTGATTTTGGATAACATTAACACACATTGGACATACCCAATTGAGTGTTCAAAGCGGTTGTGGGAGGCTCCAGGATAAACAAAATAGCCCGCCCCCAGCTGCTTGATGTATCTTAATCTCTGGAACTGAGGCATGTCAATGATTTTGACAAGAACAGGGTGCAACTCCATATGTCCGTGGATTGGATCATTAAACACCTAACAGAATACGTACAACAAAAAAAGCTCAATTTCTTCTGAAGGCCCTGAACATGTAATGTGAAGCAATAAATAAAACAAAATATGATATCACCTTGTGAGCTGCTGGCCAGATCTTCAAGATACTGTCCAAGATTTTCTGACGATCCTCAAGTGGACTAAAGAAATCGTGAAAAAAGAGCATAGTAGATTATAAATTAAAAGTCAAGCCAGGGGGAAGTTGTTGCACCAAATGAGTGCCACTGCTTCAGGAACATTCGCAACACACTTCCTTCTTTTCAGGATGTTATATATTTGTTTTAATTGCAACCTGGTTTGACAAGGAATGATACTCACTCTATGCCCATCTCAGTCAGAACACCATCATTGAGCTCCCGCAGCTTGATAACAGACATTTCTGGGTAAAAGAAGATGCAGTGAATTACAGTCCTGTATCACATTTTAGTTTTTTATGACAAGTTTATAAACTAAGTTGAATTTAAAAAAACAAAAGCATTTATTTATCATCAGCTTATTCAATTAGGCCAACGATGATATAAAACCTAACCATCAATTTAAATGACCAAACCAGAAACTTACTTCTAAATGTTTCGTCCCACTTTCCAAGTCCTTCTTCTTTCAGTATCTTACACATAGAGTCCCCGCTCATTTCCCCATCGTTTTCTGACGCCATTGACAATGTTTTCTGTGTCTAACTAACGATAGAAGACACAAATGATGTCGCTCCCTAAAACAGCTGATCATGAAACGTCTGGACAAATATGCTCAGGCTTTGAGAAGTATCTGGCTTTTATGTCTCTACCACACCCATCCGATTGGTCACTGCCAATAAGGAGGAAGTATTTTGTGATAACTATACAACCAACAGGACTGTGTGTGTGTGTGTGTGTGTGTGTGTGTGTGTGTGTGTGTGTGTGTGTGTGTGTGTGTGTGTGTGTGTGTGTGTGTGTGTGTGTGTGTGTGTGTGTGTGTGTGTGTGTGTGTGTGTGTGTGTGTGTGTGTGTGTGTGTGTGTGTGTGTGTGTGTGTGTGTGTGTGTGTGTGTGTGTGTGTGTGTGTGTGTGTGTGTGTGTGTGTGTGTGTGTGTGTGTGTGTGTGTGTGTGTGTGTGTGTAGAAATGTTTGAACATTTAAAGTAAAATGCTTCAATCTGGTGCACTTTAAGCACACAATTACTAGAGACTAGACTCTAAACACCCATATGAAAAAGATCGGTTTACATTTTAATAACCAAATATGTGAACATAACCAATAACCTACTACAGCCAATAACAAATAAATGTAACTTATTTTATTTGTGTTGTTCATTCATATCTTATTTGACCTATAGTTAAAATGTATTTATGCATATTTTTATATTTCTCAAGTTTTAAATGATATTTTTGGTTTACTGTCCTATAGTATACATTGAAATGATTTTAAACCTGTTTATCCACATAATTATAAAGGAGTGCCTTGGAAATATTTGTTTACATAAATTGCATTTATCTCTCTTGCTCGTTCCCACGCCCACTTTGGCTGTGAGCTGCGGGCGCCTGATAAGCCAACACCCCCCACTTTCATCACTTACAGCAACCATCGTACAGGGCAAATGAAAAGTGTAACCGGGGTGAAAAGGGTGTTACCTTTACTTAATTATGAATGTTGTTACATCAAGGCTAAAAATTGGGATGAGCGCAAACAGTCAAAAATAACACAGAATTTGGTGATGATTAAATAGTTTACAGTGAGATTTACTCCCATACTTTTGGCCATACTCAAGCAGCCCTACAAATGAATTGAGATTTCCAGACAAATGTTCTTTAGCAAGTGGGCAGAGCAGTGTTGATTTAAAAAAGCAATTTGAAGGTTGGATATTTGTAAATCTTTTTTTGTGTATATATATTAATAATTTAAGATGTAAATTAATTCCAGTTTATTTGTAGTACTTTCTATTTTTATTGTGACATTTGGTGGCATCAATGTGTGCATTTGATCCAGATAATGGAGCAGTTCCTTTAGGGCCACAGTGTATGCCTATATCCCATCAGGTCAAATAATGAGATCCTCGACCTACGCCCCCCTCTCGCACCTCCACACAGAGCCCCCCCACATATCAAATCCCAACTTAACCCCTGGGCATACCTCCGGACCCCCCTAGAGGATGTGACGTCCACCCCCCAATTAAAACATGTTCATACAATAATGAATACATTTAAAACCTTCTTTATGTATAACCAACATGTCAATACGTTTAAGTTTTTGTAGTGTATTGGTCTTTTGTAGAGATTTTTCATTTATTCTTTTGCAGGTCTCCCTTGAAAAATAGATCTATGATCTCAATGGGACCATCTGGTTAAATAAAGGTTTGATATATTCTATTGTGTATTGCTTGGAGGGGGGGGGGGCACCAAATCATAATCTCACCTAGGGCACCAAAATGTATAGGGCCGGCCCTGGACAGCTTAATAATAACAGCAAAACCAAAGCAAGTTTTTCAATAAGACGTGCCAATAGGATGCCGGATCTATTTCATGGACAAACAAAGGTGTCACAAGCGGGCCGTACATCACATTGGCTCTTTTTGCTGCTACTTTGACAACATGGTTGCTACCGGTTTTGATTTTGTGCTGTTTTTTTTCTTTGTGTTGATTTGGTGTTTTTGATGAACAAAGACTGATGTAGATTTTTGGCTAGCAAATTTTCCATCCAAATGAAGCAACATTTCTAAATACATTTTAGACAAAGTTGACTAAAATGTATTAGTGATGACTCAAAATCAACTAGGATTAATACATGTCCAAAGTATCTATTAGGTAAGTAGTACATTATCAATTTAGCATAAGAAATGGAAAATGTTGTTTCATAAGGCCCAATGAGAACAAACAAGAGGCAGAATCTAAACAGGAAAGTGTAAAAACATGTTGAATCATTAAACATCTGATAGAACAAAAACAAGATGCACCTAGTTTTTGTTTATCTAAAAACATCGCTGATCAGTGAACTAGATTTTCTTCATTTCATACGCAATCTTCCTGGCAGTAGAGCTTTGATTTTATTCTAGAAAGTGCACCAGAAGGCTCGCTCATCATAAACAATGAAAAAATAAACTTTACTTGCTTGTATGTTATTGTGTGTAGACACTAATAAAAAGTTACAGATACAACCGAAAGCAAGATAGAGAGAGAGAGAGAGAACACACGTGTGTTGAAGTGTAATTGTATCACTGTGTATATATATATATATCATTAATATGTAACAATTTGAAATGTATGTTAATGTTGTTTGTATATCATATTATTGTGTAATTATGTTTGTATTGTGATGCTTTGGCAACATTGTTTCTTTCAACTTTCATGACAATAAAGCCTCTTTGAATTGAATTGAATTGAGAACCGACAAAGTTTAGGCTGCCCGGGCATAAGGAAGTTGCTTTGCTTATGAAATCAAATTAAGTAAATTTTTTCGAGGAAGTTGTTCTGTCATTTATTTTTCTATTCTCTGTTACTTTAAACTCCCACTTCACTACTTTACATTCAAAACAAATAGCTTGTAAAATGTGAGACGGCACTATTGATAAAGCTACATATTAGTCTATAAAATAGTTACATCTTTACTTATCTCAAGCAGCAACACCAATAAAATACTGCTTCACATAAACGCATCGCAAATAATCATCAAAAATGTTATAAATAATAATATAAAAATCTGTGGCCATTTGTCTACAAATATGTGGCAGTTTGGTACTTTGAGTTCATATTGCAAATACTAAATAAGTGCTTTCACTTTGCTGTTTAGTAACTTTAACTTAGGTAAAACATCTGAATACTTCTTCCAGCTCTGTGTCACAGTAGATTCAAGGTGCTCCCAGGTAACACATTTCCATTAGAGGAGAATTTAATATCAAACTCAATTGTTTTTATTCAATGCATATAGAGGCAACTGAACCACAGATCAACATTTCATCCATGCATTTCTTCACTTGTCAGTTGTTGTTCAAGCTCTCAAGCAAGCAAGCAAGCAGTACATCACATTGGCTCTTTTTTCCGCGACCTTGACTTCTAAACAATGACCTGTGTGTGTCGTTGCTATTTCATTCAGAGAGCGGTCACAAATATGCATAATTCAAATTTGCTTCCACCTTTCCATGCTATGCGTGCAAAAGGGTGAGCGATAGGATGGCCTGTTTTTTTTTTATGCTGATGATGCAAATATTTCCTCTTTCCTCTGTGTCTTTGGTGTTCTGATGAACTAAGAGTGAGGACAATGTTTGCCTTTCTGAAGAATTATTAGATCCATTTGACTACTCGTGTTATGTTATGTTAATCAACTAGGATGAGTAAATGTCCAAAGTGTCTATTATGTTAGTAGTAAATGATCAATTTAGCATAAGAAATTAAAAATGTTGTTTCATAAGGACCAATGAGAACAAACATGAGGCAGAATCTAATCAGGAAAGTGTAAAAAACATTATTAAACAATCATTAAACATCCAATAGAACAAGAACAAGACACACCTAGTTGTTTTATATCTAAAAACCAAACCAGGAGAAACACCGGTTCTCTTGCATGATCTGTGAAGTAGTTTTTTCTTCGTTTCATAAGAAATCTTCCCGGCAGTAAAGCTTTTTTTTATTTTAGAAAGTGCACCAGAATGCTCACTTATAAACAATGACAAAATAAACTTTACTTCCTCCTTTTATGTTATTGTTTGTACTTACTAATGCAAAGTTACAGATACTTCTATTCTATTTCATTGTATTTAACTGCACTATTTTATCTGTTTTATTGTGTTGCACTGTTGGAGGAGCCTGAGACCTAAGATTTTCATCGACATAACTACACTGTCTGTAGCTATGTAGGAATGACAATAAAAGCCTTGAATCTTGAATCTAAAGCAACAGTCAGGTAGTTCCCACACTGTTTATATAATGTGCTGCTGATTGCTGGAATGCATTGGTTTTATTTTAAAGGTCTCCTATTATACTATTTTTAGGAATATATTATAGGTCTCAGATATATAAAAAACATGTCTATAAAGTGTTTTGTGCAAAATACCAAACAGATCACCCATTCTAGCCATGCCTCATCCCCCTCTATTTCAGCACTGTTAGAGAAGTGCTGATTCTGGGTCCTTAGCTTTAGAAAAAATAAATAAAAAAGAGCAGAGACGGGAGCTCATGCAGGAGAATTCTACCCAGATACTCAGTTAAAGCTGCCGTGATTAAACGCCAGATCATGTTCCAAACCACATCAAAGATTATTTCTGAAACAGTAAGGAGCTCAAATGCTTTTTCTCTTGTGGGTTTACCACAAGGAGAGTTCCTTTTTATATCCAGCTTCTTTACACATACTCTCTCCAGTACATGCTTTCTAATGTGAACACAGACCATATTACTTTCAAAACGTTGCACATTGTTTCTGATACAGCAACGTTTCTGATAGGGCCGTAGGCATAAAGCCCGGCACACATTTCCGATATTATGTCATATCGGACGCAAATCTGGATCAGCTCGTGGTCCCCCTGTTTTTAGAGATTTGGGTACGGAGGAAAAGAGAGAAGGTTTTATTTTCTGACACTTTGTGAGTTCCCTGACACACCGGGGGACACAGATGTATGTATAAATTACATCAAAAAAGTGCCATTTTGCATGATAGGAGACCTTTTAAAGTGCACCTATCATGCTATTTTTAGGCATATATTATGGGTCTGAGATATTTTTTCAAATCCTCCCAAAAAAAATCATGTGGCCCTAATCCTCTTCCATAGATTGGTCACTGCCCATAAAGGGGAACTATTTTGTGATAACTATACAACCA